CAGCCCTGGTTTGCACTTGGATGGGAGACCACCAAGGAAGTCCACGGTTGCTCCACAGAGGCAAACCACCTCTAAATGTCTTTTGCCTTAAAACCCCCATGGGGTTGCAATAAATCAGCTGTTACGTCATGGTGGGGGTAGAAGGTTCTTATAAAGCTAAAACAGACGAAGGGGTGTCAGAGGAATCAAACTCCATTTGATGCCAATATAAACTCAATTACAGCGGTTTGCCTGTCTCGATATGATTGATGGGTACCATCTTAATAAGAAGTACCAGGTGCATTGTGAAGGGATGGTTCATATAATGCCGTATAATTGAAAGGACTATTCCTGACACTTGTACATTTCTGAGATCTGTAGTCATGACTGGCCAGCTCCTGACTTCTCTGAAGTTTCTGTGGCAGTTTGGGATGTGTGTGTTTGTGGGGACAGTAAAAGACCTCTAAGGATGGGAGGAAAATATCTCTAGCTCTCTGCTATGCAGGATTTGACACACTCAGAACCAGCTATTCTGTGCCCACATAGGGGCCCAAGTACCACAGTAGGAAGAAAACTTTTAAATTAAAAGTCAGCCAACCTTGAGGTGTTTGGAGTAGGTCCTGTAAGACCTAAATTGGTCCATTAATATTCAACATGCCCAGAATCCTAGGAGCTTTACTTCCACAACCCCCTGCCTCTGTCTTGCAAGCCAGGTCTTCTCTGTCTCACCGTTAGTGACGTTTCTCCTACCTTTGCCTGGAAATTTGTCTTTGTCTCTATCTCTGAAAAGAGCAGAGGGCTCTATATTGCAGAAAGCAGGTTTCTGTTGGCTAGCAGTATTGCTGTCCAAAAGAAGAAGGCTAGAACTCTGGCCTAGAAGTTGGAACATGGCTGGCTAGGTGCCCACAATACTGCTTTCCATTCAATGAGGATGACTGAGTTCAGCCATTCAGCCCAGGAAGATCATCAAATTACACCCCCCACCACCACAACTGCTTCAGAAAAAAGAACATTCCAGAAGCTTCTGGGAGAAGGATCTAGCCAGGCTTCTCCAAGATCAGGAAGATCAGTCATTCTAGAGCACCGTCCTCTCAACCTATGTCACCTGATGAAGAAAGTCATTCTCATCACCCTCTGATTCACCTGCTTGGCCATCTCTCACCTCCAGCTTCCTGGAACCTTGGATATTTTTTTTATCACTGCCCAGGTAAGCATGAGGTAAAGTTACAGATCTCTGTAGAGGCCAGGCCACTGATCCAATCAGTCACTAATCTGTCAGAACCTACCTTGCATATCATCTTATCTGATTACAAACAGACGTTGAACACATGTTGGACAGGTTGTGTGCCTTGGGCTCCGAATAGATTTACACTTAGTTTTGTGTTATGCAATTAACAACCTGTTTGGACTAATTAGCAGGTTTGAAAACACAGGGTGGGAACATCTCAAGGAACGCAAGCGGTCACCCCTCTGCAGACCAGAGACTGACTTAATGGGAGTTCCAGTTTGCTTCCTAGAAAACTGCCCCGTGCTTTGAAAGAACATGCCTGAATACATTCAACAGACGTGCTTGCTTCAGTCTCAGGCTGAGAGAGAACCCTTTCGGTTAGGTACCACGAAGGTTGAGCAGCAACAATATTAAACATGGATTAAACAAAATCAGATTAAAAACACAGGCCTCAAACAATGCTCCCTCTAAGCTGCGTTGTTTTCTGAGCAAAAAATCTCCTTTGTGAGCAACTGGCATTAAAGTTGTGAGCGGGCGATTTGGATACTGCATAAATTAGTTTGCTCTGGAGCCCTCCTTCCTGAGCTAAGACAGAAATTTGTGAGCCGGAGGCTAAAAAGCTGTGAGCTAGCTCACACTAACTCAGCTTAGAGGGAACACTGGCCTCAAATGTAGCCTCTAGATTGAAACCACTGGGCTAAGTAGTCCACAGTGTACATTACATAATACAAATGAATACCCATAAGTTGATGACATGCAGATAAGACCATAATGACAGTAAAGAAGCACAAACACATTTCAGCCCTATGGGCCTTCTTCAAAGGTCTCTCATACATAGATACACATATACCCTAAGAACAATTGTTGATATAATAAGCCAAAGCAGGTGTTGATTTGATTCACATTTTATCTTGTAGCCAAACAGTGACATGGATCTGGTTCCATGATTTTCAAGCTCACACATAAAAATGTGGTTGTAAATTATACCTAATTTTGGCAATTCTTTCCCTTATTGGTGCTTATGTATACCTCAACCAGCAATATGACAATCTGTGAGAGAACGTACAGAGAAACAACGAGACTGAAGAACAGAGATAGAAAAAGATTAGAGGCTGGATGAAGATGCTGAGGCCTCAAAGTTCTGTCAGCTTTAAGAGGCAGCATACTATGACACCCAAAATGTGTATTTTTCAAAAAAGTATTCAGAGGCCTCTCCTAATCTGAGGCCCTTAGCTATAGTTTACATAGTATGTGCGTAAATCTGGCTCTGCTCATCATTTGCGTTCCTTATTTGGTATTTTTGGTTTTTGAAGTCGTTTTCCGATCTAACTTCCATCGTTTCCACCAAAGAGGTGCCAAGGGATACAGCAACATCTGTCTGCATCCATAAGTGGATCATAATGCTGGTTTTAAGTTTATAGCGGGTATTGGGGAATACCTTTTGCGCAGATCTTAAAGAGCCATTGTCTGTATAAATACAGGCCTAGCTGCATCAGTAGTGTGACCGGATATAAGACGGTTTCCTAGGTGTGATATAAAAAAACCCCGTACGATGTGTAAATATTAGACTAACACAGAGATAAAGCAAGCCAAAGTAACTAGATCAAGCCAGATTCATAGCTAGTTAGACCAAATGCGTCACTATATACACACATATATAAAAGGAGCCTTATGGCACCTCAAAGCTTAAAACTTTTTTAAAAAAATTCTAGTGTAAGGTTCAATGGACCAGGGCCAACAACCTGAAAAAGTGGGATCTCTTATTTCGTACCTTCCTCTCCCACTGTACAACAGTCTCCTTTCCTCCATTTTAACCTCACAATAGCCCTGTGAGGTAGGCTGGGCTGAAAAAGTGAGTGAGTGACTTGCCCAAATTCACCTAGCAAGCTTCCTTGGGCATGGTAGCAATTTGAACTCAAGTCTCCCAGAACCTGGTCCTTACACATTAACCAATACACCACAGTATGTGCTAAAATAACAGTTTGTCTTTAGGTTACCACGACTTTGTGATGTCGTAGACTGACATGCTAACCTCTTTTGGAACTGTTCTATTACAAGCAAAAGCCATGTGATTCCTTTGAACTAAGAACAGCCAAAATAATCCCAAAAAGTGAGCAAGCTTTTGAATTATTCAGAACTCTTAATAATTTACTCAAGAATGGGAGGGGGAGATGTTTCAGGCCATGCCGTTAAGTCTTGTTATCTGCGACCCGCATAGTGTGTCAGGCAATTTCATGCCCCCTCCCCATTTTAGTTTTTAAACTTTTAGCGTAGAACCAGAATGATGTAGTGTTTAAAGTATCAAATTCTTTTGCCCTTCTGCCATGAAAACTCATTGGATGACCTTTGGCCAGTGATTCCCTCTCTCATCCTGACCCACCTCACAAGGTTGTTGTGAGGATAAAATGGAGAAAAGGAGAATACAGGAAACCACCTTGGGCCCTCCATGGGAGAGAAAAGCAAGTTATAAATACCTAATTAAAATAATCTAGATGGGTAGTCCTGTTAGTTTGTCTGTAGCTGTAGAAAAGAGTCCAGCGGCACCTTAAAGACTAACAAAGTTTGTGGTAGGCTCAACTTCTTCATGTATCTATAGAATCTGTATCTGAAGAAGTGAGCAGTGACTCATGAAAGCTCCACCTTTACCACAAATTTTGTTAGTCTTTAAGGTGCTCCTGGACTCTTTTCTAAAAAAAATCCAATTATTCCTCCCCACCCAGATCCCCAAAAACTCAACATTCACTATTTACAGCAGAGAAAGACAGAGGGCTCTAGGTGTGGAGACGCCAATGTGTCATTTAATTTATTTTGGCTTCTGCACCGCCCTCCCCGCAAGCAGGCTCTGGGCGGTGCACAACACATTTAAATAAAATACATACATAAAGAGAAGAAGAGATTGGATTTATACCCCACCCTTCACTACTTGAAGGAGTCTCAGAGTGCCTTACAATCTCCTTCCCTTCCCCTCCCCACAACAGACACCCTGTGAGGTAGGTGGGGCTGAGAGAGCTCTTTCGAGGACTGCCCTTGAGAGAACAGCTCTGAGAGAACTTGTGACTGACCCAAGGTCACGCCATATAAAATAACATTAAACAATCTAAAAACAACCCTTATCCATAAAACCTAACATCTACATGGCGCCATAATGCAAATTTCTGAAACCCCCCCCCCCCGTTTACATTACATGGGGGGGGAAGAGGGTGTGTGTGAAAAGCAGTTAACAGGCCGGATAGTCAGCTGCGACTTGCAGTGTTCCCTCTAAGCTGAGTTAGTGTGAGCTGGCTCACAGTTTTTTAGCCTCCGGCTCACACATTTTCCTCTTAGCTCGGGAAGGAGGGCTCCAGAACAAACTCATTTACGCAGCGGCCAAATGGCTCGCTCACAGCTTTAATTGCCAGTGGCTCACAAAGTAGCATTTTTGCTCACAAGACTCCACAGCTTAGAGGGTTTTATCTGGAGTCTGGGGGAGGCGCTCGGGACGAGACAGCTGCGTGCGGGGAGCGGCAGTGGCCGGACATGCCAAGGGAACGGCCGGGCCATCTGGCCACTTGACTCGGGAGAGTCCTGGAGCGGGAAGCGCCGCAGCCTCCTTTTCGCGACAATTCCCCCATTTCCCTGCTGCAGCCGCTCGGTCACGCCGCCGCCACCCGCAGCGGTCACGCGGGAGCGCGCGGCGCTGGAAACCCCCCCCATCTCCGCGGCAGGTGTTCCGCAAAGCCTCCCGGGTCCAGCCAATCAGCGCCCTCCTCCGCCGGCCCCCTTCCACCAGCGCCCCCCAAAGGCCGAACGGTGAATGGAGTGGGCAGGGCGAAAGCGGTCCAAAGGCGATGACGAGAGGACCCGGCGTCTCCTAGGCAACCTTTGTTACCCGCCGGGGAAGAGCCGCCGATTGGCCGGCGTTGCCTGTGACGACACGCGCTCTCAGGAGGCCGGTTAAGTCTCTCTGCCTGCTGCGCTGAGCGCGAGTCCCTCGGGAGAGCAATCCTCGAGCGAGCCAAGAAACTCGGACGGGCGTCTCGGGGAAGAGAAAATCCGGCATGGCGGGTCAGCAAGAAAAGAGGTCAGGATCTCTTGGGGGGAGAGGGGTGCTTTGGATGTTATTTTATGGCGGCGCTACGGGGGAGATTCTCGCCGGCACGTGGCTGTTAGATCAGCGGCTTCAAAGGATGAGGGAGCCCGCATGATTCTCCCCCTTATCTCTTTCGATAACTACTGTGTTGTTTTTTTTAATAAAGAAAGCTTGATATTACTTATCAGCCCGCCCCCACATTTGTAAAAGGGGGTGGGCTCTGAATACTAGGAATGAGCCCCTTCCCCTGTTAAACCCTGGAAAGGAGATGGGGAGGGCCGAAAAGGAAAATTAGAGTGGAGGGGAGAATTGGGGGTGGGGGGGAGTCGCTCCTCCTGGGCTCTTATTTTGAGAGAAGGTGGCTTTGGGGATAAGGATGCTGGAGTCTGGTATGTATAGGGGTGGGTGGGGGAGGCTGGAAGGAAACGCCAAAAAATCTAGAGCAGCATAGAGAACAGACCATGAACTGAGAGGCAGACGGTTCTACATTTTGCTTCCAATTGCTAATGCAGTTGTCTGTAGCACATTTTTATCCCGCTGTTTTTCCAGGTAGCTCAGAGTGGCATAAAGGGGTCTGCCTTCCTGGTTTTCCTTTGACAAAAACCCTGTGAGATATGCTAGCCTGTGGGAAATTGAAGAAGAAGAAGAGATTGGATTTATACCCTGCCCTTCACTACCCAAAGGTGTCTCAGAGCGGCTTACACACTCCTTTCCCTTCCCCTCCCCACAACAGACACCCTGTGCGGTAGGTGGGGCTGAGAGTGCTCTTGACAGAAACTGCTCTTTTTCAAGAACAGCTCTTATCAGAACTACGACTTGCCGAAGGTCATCCAGCCGGGTGCAAGTGGAGGAGTGGGGAATCAAACCCAGCTCTCCCAGATTAGAGTCCACCGCACTTAACCACGACTACACCAAAGTGGCCTCGGGTCACTCAGTATATTTCCTAGCAGAGTAAGGATTTGAACCCGGGTCTCCCAGCCCCATGTCCAGTGCCTTAACCTCTGTACTGCACTGGCTCACACTATAAGTGGCCTTAGGTGACCATAAGCCTCTTTAGCCTCAGTTTACCCCATCTGTAGTATGGGGGTAATGCTGGTCTACTTTATAGATTTGAGTCCCCACTGTGCCATAGAAGCTAGCTGGGTGACTGAGCCAGTCACGTGCTCTCAGCCAAACCTACCTCACAGGGCTGTTGTCATGAAGATAAAATGAAGGACAGGAGAATGATGTAAGCCACTTTGGGAAGAAAAGTGGGGTATAAATGAAGTGAATAAAAATAAAGTTGTTAATCAAGTGGGGGCCAAAATGAGCTAAAGAGGATGCTAGTTGGGACAGCTGAGCTTGTATTCAGCAAGAATTCGTGGGATTAGTGAGTGGTAATAAATGTCCTTAAACGTTTCCTAAGTACCCAACAACGCTCTGCACTTAGGTTGTGCTAGTAATGCTCACAACATCCCTGTGAGGTGAGCCATGATTAGATCCCCTGGTTGCAGAATGTTGGAGGGTGGGAAGGAGAACCGAGACATACTTGCCTCGCCTCTGGCCACACAGAAGGAAAACCCTTGAACCAAGGAGTGGCAGCTCATATCCTCATGGCTTATTAAGGAGCTATTAGAATGACAGAGGCAATGAGATGATCCGGGAGGGAGACGTCTGGGGTTTGCTGGAAGAAGTGAGGAAACGGTTTCTTCAGAGGATGTGACAGCGGTGGTTATGGTTGCGGGGTTTACGACTCACGAATTTCTAACATGTTAAAGGAAGATGCTGAAAGTCACATGTTTTTCATCTAGGTATAGTCAGGTGGGTAGCTGTGTTGGTCTGAAGCAGCAGAACAAAGTCTGAGTCCAGTGGCACCTTTCAGACCAACAGAGTTTTATTCAAGGTTTAAGCTTTTGTGTGCATGCACACTTCTTCAGATACAGCGAAATGGAAGTCACCATGCCATACATATAAGTAGAGGGTGAGCAGTAAATTAGCACCCTGGGATCATTTGCCCCTTTGGACCTCAGCATCTTTCTCTGGCCCAGCCTGGTTTGGTGTAGTGGTTAGGAGTGAGGACACTAATCTGGGAGAACCGGGTTTGATTCCCCACTCCTCCTCCACGTGCAGCTGCTGGTGTGACCTTGGGTCAGTCACAAGTCCTTTCAGAGCTGTTCTCTCAAGGGCAGTTCTCTCAGAGCTCTCTCAGCCCCACCTACCTCCCAGGGTGTCTGTTGTGGGGAGGGGGAGGGAAAGATGGTTGTAAGCCACTCTTTTCTTTTTTTTGGTAATAATTTTTATTTTTACAAAAAAAAATCACATCACGTAGATTAAAACTATAAATGAAGCATATAAGGCCATGAGGTTAAGATGAATAAGCCCTGATCGACCATCAAAACAAGAGGCTCTGCTTACATTCGTATCAAGTCCACAAAATTCTCATCATTTGGTAAAATGTCATTTCCCATCAAATAGTGAATAACAGGAGACCACGATGCAGTGCATGCTAGTTTCTGTCGATCTGATCTATTCAGTTGTGTATTATTCTGCTCTGAGACTCCTCCTCGATGGCCAGACCTGCAGGTGACGGCCTCTCCCTGGGTCTCCTTGGGTGGCTCATTGTGGCCACTCTGTGATCTGTGGGCCGCTGGGAAGTTGCTATCTGGTTGGTCTTACAAAGAATGAAGGTTGGCTGGTTGCCGGCAATGTAGGGAGGGGGGTACGTTCCTGACCCTCTTTGGCTGTACCATAGCAGCAGTATGTGTGTGTTGGGGGGGGGAGGGTCATGGCTTAGTGGTAGAGCCTCTGCTTTGCAAACAGAAGTTCCTAGGTTCAAACCCCCAGCACGTCCAGCTAAAAGGATCTGGCTGTAGGTGGTGGTGAAGGACCTCTGTCTGAGACCTTAGAGAGCTGTTGCCAGCTAAAAGGATCTGGCTGTAGGTGGTGGTGAAGGACCTCTGTCTGAGACCTTAAAGAGCTGGCCTTTTTTTAAAAAAAATATGTTTATTTTCAGTTTTCCATCGTACATTCATTTCCAGTTGAAATACATTTACATTTACATTTGGGGGTTTACAGGTTTGAGCTGGCCTTGACGGACTAAGGGTCTGATTCAGTAGAAGGCAGATTTGTGTGTGAGAGAAAGAGGAGATGTGAAACTTGTAGGCCAAAGGGGATAGCTGCCGAAGCTGTGTCAGGAGGAGGGAGGGAAACTGTGTCGCCTGCCACGAATAAAGCTTAAAGGGATGGATTACTTGCCCCCCTGCATGGTGTGGTCGGCAGGGCCATCTGCTTCAATACAGTCGCCAGCTTGCAGCCCAGAACTTGTGCTTCCTGGCTACACGGCTGGGAAAGAAGAGGGCAGCTGTGCCCCGTGGGTGCCATCCAATGTTTTGCCCCCAGTGCGGTGGGAGGGTGGTAGGACTCGTCTTTTCTGGGCTGCAGAGCTATCAAAAGCATTGTTAGGGGGTAGCTGTGCTGGTCTGCAGTAGAAGAGCTGGATCTGCGTCCCCGTAGCAATTCAGAGACCAACAACTAGAGTTCATTCAACCATTCAGAACAATGAGCCCTCCCCAGGGCTGAATAGGGAGGTCGGATTCTTATCTCACAGCCCTAATTTTCTGCCCCAGGCGTTTCTCCCCTGCTCTAATCAAGCTGACTACATTTTGCATTGTACCTCGGCAGGGGTCTTGTTGTAGAAAAAGAGCTGCCGGAGCTCATTAGCATAACTCATTAGCATAACTTATTTGCATATGCCACGCCCCCTGGCATCACCGGAAGTGACAGAAGGCCACACCCCCTGACATCACCGGAAGTGTGTCAGAAGGCCCGGCTACTTACCCTCCTGCTTCATCCTCATTCCCAAACGGAATGAGGATCGAAGCAGAGGGCGGGGTAAAGAAGGGGGCGGGGCTTCACCACGTGACCGCCCCGCCCCCTAGAGGTTCTCTTCCGGAGCTCCGTACCTGAGAGCTCCCCCCCGACTAGAGCCCTGTACCTCGGACTCTGACTTTCTTTGCAACATCCCTCCCACCTTCCGACTGGGATGTAAGGATGATAGGCAGGTTGGCAAGACACCCTTTTAGATCTTAAACACTGCCGTGTGCAGCTTGACAAGCGAAATCAAGCTAGATTTTGTCAAAGTACAGAATGGGATGTGGTGAACTAGATAAGAGGGCGAGATGTCTAGACGTAGCTGAATGAGCATAGCTGTTACCTGAGAAAAGGAAATTGTTTTACGAAGATTGTAAGATCAATAGAGAACCATAAGTATTCCAAGTGAGGGTGTGTGTGTGTAACAAATGTACTTATATAGAAATAACTGAACTATAACCTCTGTGATCTGAAGACATCTGCACATGTCTAAAAGTTGTTTAGTAGATGCAACGAACATGAAATTGAGCAAACTTCAGAGGATGGCGGAAGACAGGAAGGCCTGGCGTGATCCGGTCCACGGGGTCGCGAAGAGTCGGACTTGACTGTGTGACTGAACAACAACAAAAAAAGTTGTTTAAAGTTAATCCTGGTGCCTTACTAACAGAGTCCTTGGGTTTTATTGCCAAGTTCCCCTTTACTCCAATAAAGTCCTGTCTGCTTCTGGATTCTCACTGGCTGCATTCATCGCTGGGCATCGGCACACCAGGCTAAGAGCCCATTTGGCTGACAAGGCCTCGGGGTCTCCATTCCTACTTATATCTGACAAAGGGAACTTTGGCTTTTGAAAGCTCAGACCCTGAAAATCGTGCTGGTCTTTGGGGTGCTACTGGACTGAAACCTAGAGCTCTGGGAGACTTATGGGGAGGATTTCTGGGTCACGAGTTGGCAAGCTTGGCTCCAGGTGCCCCCTTTCTGTACTTTTGTCTCAAATTCTGTTGCCAGCTCTT